TATATGTATTATTCGTCGTTAATTTCTTTAGTGCAAGTTTTCGCTATATTCTCGTCGTTTTGTACCACAATAAACTCCGACACATCTAAGTATTTACATACACGTAGCATACATTATACTTTATTCATATATTTTTTTATAATTAAAATTTTTTTTTTTTGTTTTGTTATTCTTCAAACATTAACATTTCTTTAATTAATTTTTCTTCTTGCTTTGCTAGTCTAAACATATATTAGCTGCCATATTTAACTCAAAATTTTACACATATCGCATGTAGACACGGATTTCTTTAACGTATATTATAATTTAAGATTATATAATAACTGTTTGCGCATATGTATGTATGTTTTTCTACCAAGTAAATTCAAAATTTCCAGTTTCATTACTACTAATTGGAGATACATACAATTTAAATAGCATTCGGTTTTATGACATAAGCGATTTGAGAGACGCAGTCACATTTGAAGGCATACATAGTATATCTAGCGTAATTGCTAAAGAAAAGTATTTTTTTTTTTTAGCAGAACTCCACGGCAGTATATCAGACGCTTTACTGACTCGGCTCTACTGTGAAAACATGAAAAGCGTTGAAGCATAGCGGTTTTCGTGAGCGAATGAAATCCAACACAAATTTTAATCGTAAATTTGTCGTACCCGACAACAAAAATTTTTTGATGAATGAAATCGTTTTGTAGAAAAAAAAACATATGTACACTGTGGCGACTAGGGATGTTAATTTTTCAGCTTTTTCCGATTACTTTTCAACAACTTAAATCGAAAAAATTGCTTATATGGTTGTTTGAGAAGCTCTCCTACCATAAAATAAATAATAAATAAATAAATAAATGGGCTCGAAACCTAAATTTTTATTTAAAGTGGCGTTTTTATTTTTTCTCTCTGATGTCAGTATTTATTTTAATGGCCTTTTTTAGTTTCAAAGATATGATTGATTTCAAAAATTATTTAAAAAATTCAATGCAATGTAGAATAAAAATATGCGTACCAAATGCAAGAAAAAATTTCTTTAGAATCTAAAATAAAAAATAAACTTTTTGGATTCACAGTGACGAATAGGCAATTTATTAAGCTGGTAAAGTTAGAAGGAAGAAATTCGAAGGTGTTGTCGAGTTTATATATGTCCTTAACATATAATTTTTTCCAAAACAAATGTTGCGAAATTTCAAGGATATAATTTTAAAAGGACATTTTCAATATTTACCAGTCCTTCTGCACCAAAAACTTGAATCTGTTTAAATTCTACAGGATTTCCTCCTTAATTTCCATACTTTTTCTGTAAGCACATTTCTCTAAATTTTTTAAATCAATTTTGAATAACTGACATCAGAGTGAAAAACTATTTAATAATTTACTATATTTGGCCCCAGGTTTCGCGAACTATCGTGGTGGTGGTGTTATATATATAATGAGCTAGACAATCAGAAAAAAAATATTAATTATTAAATAAAAAAAGAATTATAGCCAATACGGATCCAGAAAAGAAGTTTCTGTTATTGCCGTCAGTGCAAATTACAAATCCCGAATATCCCGGGATTATGTGCCAAGAATCCCGGGATTTGTGGGACCTTAAAAAGGCCGGGATCCCGGAATTCCGGGAGTAACATTCCCAGTGGCGACGCATAACTGTTACATTTTTTCCAGGTGTTGTGGGCCCTATCGTAGGAGGCCTAATTTATTTTTTACTTTTTGCTTTGGTTTGCATTTTTATGACAAATGCAGACACACTGGTCTTTTCATACAGTCTGAACCCGTGTTTTCATGGGCGAGAAGGCGAAGAGAGTAGTAGTTTACGCTCAGCAATTTCAGAAGCCGAATAGTGTGTACAGCAGCCGGATTACAGCATTCGCTATCGCTTGAACTCCATCGATAAAAAACGCTAAATGGAGTTTAGCAATTTTTCAGGGGTTTTCGCGATTCTTTCTTCAAAATGCATCTCTAAAAAAATTGTTTTGACTCATAAAGCTAAAATTTCGATTCCAGCGTATTTTGCATCGCTAACAATCTCTATCGCTCTTTCGCTTAAACAAGTTAAAAATTCGCGACGAGAAAAAATTGCTGCTAAGAAAAAAATCAATCAACAAATTATAGCTACTTTTGCTATTGTTGTTCGTTAAAACTACTCAACTATATAAAAAAAAACTTTGCAATGAATAGGAATAAGTGAAAACAGCAACGGAAAAGTGACAAATGAACAAAAATGTGAGTCATTCGCAATCGTATGCTGCGAATGCCGATTTATACTAAAGCCAGCCTTTCGACATAAGCTACTTTTCCATATGAACACAGATATATTTGAACAATATTTTGAGAAGCTTTATTGAACTTCTTAAATTAAACAAAAAATTTATTAATACATGGCAGACATGCCTTAAGCGGAGATCCAATCATACTGTCTTCATGAAACACTTCATTTTCACTTAAGATTTCATTATTTTCAAATACTCCTCCGATATTATTTATAATAAAAATGCTAATACTGCTTCGTGACACATATACATACATATATAATCAAAAGTCTTGCCCACTGATCGCTGGTAACTTCCTGAAGTGGATACGGATTTTCTGGAAATCAAACTGATACAAAAAAATAAACGTATATATAGAGCTCTATTCACCTTGAGCAAAAATCCCGAAAAAATATCGCGAAATTTTGGGAAATCGCTTTGCTGTCCTGTAACATTGACACGGAGCTCCTTAAAGTCAGTCAGCCTTATCACGAGTTCAATTTCCACCCGAAACCATTCACTTTTGAGGATAAGGCTGATTATTACAAAAAACTCTTTTGTGAGCCTAAACAGTTTCACCAACCTCTTTTCCAAAATGCTGAAACTATCCGTAGATTATCTCATGGATTTGCGAAGGCTGTTCTTTAATCTTCTTTGCGAATATTAGGCCAAGCTATTTTTATGGACAAGGAGGACAGAATCGCGATTTTTGGGGGTTCGCCAAAAATTCGGTTACAATTTTAGCTTTAACATTTTAGCGATAGCGAAAGTTGGAGTCCGGCTGTTGTACATGGAAAACTTGAAGCGACAGGTATGGGTTGAAATACCCGCCGCAGTAGTGCGTACCAGTTGCATATCCTTCCCAAAGCGTTTACGGCTAGCAAAAAAAAAGCAATCGTGAAAGATTTGAACTCAATGAACAAAAAGTAAATGAAAATTAAGCGTGTTCTTTTCAAGATCAACTTAGGTATTGGTATTTATATGCATTTCATTAAATTTTTGTAACAGTTATCCGTTGCCGCGGGGTAAACTTATTTTGCATGAGTATAAAAATATATACCTTGTTTATACCTACGCAAGAACGGCATTAAAAAAAAACCGATATTTCTATTAAGTGTTTATACCTGTGTCGTTATAGCGCACTCGCTGAAATCGTATTCAAAAGTAAAAACAATTTTTTTATTTTTATTCGATATTTCTTTAATAATTAATTTGCACGGTGGACCGAAATGCAAGCGAACAAGAAAACCAGCCTATTTTTATTTCGCGTCAAATGAATGTTGTGTTTATGCGTGTTTTCTAACTGATGTGGGAAACAAAAAAGCGATTTGAAAATAAATTCGAGTAATACCCTTTTGAATTTCTGAGCGTATTGAAAGTTGGTTTATGTTTCCGTTTTGAATCACAGTGAACTAGTGATGGGCGAAATAGCGATTTTTCAGTATCAGTGAAAATAGTGATTGCGATTTTTAAATCACAGTGATTTTTTATAGCTATTGCGACCGCTAGTAACCGCTTTTAATAAAACAGAAATTTGTAATACCTCTAATAAATGATGACAAATCAGTGTTGGTACATGTAGGGACAATTCCCTACCCTTAGGGAATTCAGTCGAAAAAATTAGTGTGCGGTAGAGGGAAAAGTTGCATTTATGCGCTCAAAAATTGCCATATTTCACTTAGTTTTTTTATTAATATTTGCAGCCATCTTTACTCGTTGATACAATTTTTGAAATAAAAGCCAGGGCTGCAAACCACACTAAAAATCGGTGCGGTGCGGTTCGATTCAGTGGTTCGAACCACTTACACTATAGGCACATAATTGGCAATTAAGAGCCTTTTCACTAATTTAAGCCTTCATTGTTATCCAAGTTATAGAAAAATTCAAATTATTAATTGCCAATTCTTATTCTCTTATTCTTATTCTTAGATTCTCTATGCAACCCTGCTAGGTATGTTTAATTCCATCAGGGATGGAAAATTGAATTATAAAATTGTACTTAATTTATGGAAAACTTTACCTAAAAGTAGATAGATGTACCTAAAAAGTAAATATGTATTTCTATATAAAGAAAATAGGAGGATAACAATTCCCATCGATACCATATCAACTTCTGCACTCACATTAAACAAATTTTGGCTCTGAAAAGAATCTCTTCGAGCAGCGTGAGAGAAAACTATATTGTAGAAAAAGAGAATCACTTTCCTCCCAGTTCTTCGATTCGACGTTTTAAAAAGAAATATTTTCCGTTTATCTGGCGAAATAAACTACACTTGCGTTACTTTGATCACCCTTCTGTATCATTTGTATGCCCCTTCATAAATAAGGGAAGTTATTAGACGCCCGCACCAGAAAATGAATTGAAATGCCAATAAAAATAAGAACTGATTTCCTGAGAAGTTATTTGGATAAGTTCCAAATATACCTAAAATTTTGAGTTTGTACCGAATGTACTTTCAAACTAAATAAAGGTACGATTGTACCAACTTTTCCGTCACTGTAGGCCCAGCAAACAATTAGGTTTGATACACATTTGAGAATGATTTGAAATCAAAGCCTTTCTCAAATGCCAAACGTTTGAAAATGATTTGATATTGATTTGAAAATTACAGCTTTCTCAATAAAAAGGGGAGTTTGATCTCCATTTGAGAATATCGTTAACTCTCAAATCAATTTCAAAGGTTATTTATCAATTGTACTTCAAATGTGGAAATAAAATTTATTATAGGAAGTGTATGTATATTTCGTATCTTTTTTTCTTCGCGTTGTACATATCTATGTACATAACGAAAGAAACAATTAAGATAAAGTAATTTATAATAAATTCGTCTTGAAGGGCTGCAGTTTTTTTCAATCCGCGCAAACATCAAATCCACTATTTGTGGGCTTTCTCTTTGAAAATTTTTTTTCTATTTTCCGAGTTTTAGAAAATTTTTATTTAACTGGCATTACAACTCACGGAGTTGCCATCAAACAAAAATTTTGCAGTTTTACTATACGGGTTGTGTATTACAAAACTAGAAAAATGCTTTAGTGGATTTTCATTTTGAACCGAATCGAAGCATTTTTTGGAGTTGGGTTTTCGGTTCGGTTTAGGCATTTCAAAAACGGTTCGGTTCGTGGTTCGGCTCGAAGCTCGAATAAAGTGGCGCTTCGGCGGTTTACACGGCGAAAGCTAATTTCTTTGCTCATCTCAGAAATCCAAAATTAATTTCGTGTCGTATTTCACTCATTTACGAATTCCGCGGGATCGGATTTGGATTTCATAAAAACCAACTTGAGTATTGCTGAGATGCATACACAGCGTAACAAGTGTAAAAATTATATATACAAAATGCAATCAGTCTAAGTAAATTAGTTGAAACCTGTATTGAAATTAGAATGACAAGAAAACTTAAAATATTTACAGTACAAATTTCATTACTTGTTTCTTTCAAGTCTTCGCAGCATTTAGTTTTTATTTTCCAACATTCAAATACGCTTATTTAGCTATCAATTACCTTGTTTATACGACACTAAATACGGTTTCATATAAATTCGTGTCAGTGTAACACACTTAATTTGCACGCGTTTATACGATTTAAGTTAACACGAATTAATGCACTTTATAAACAAGGTGAATGAGAAAATAAATATTCATTCAACATGCCTGCAAAAATTAATGTAGTAAATTTTTTTTCAAAATTTCTTATTTTCATTGCTTTCCTGTATTTCCATTGGTTAATGTGTTTTCGTTTATTCATGTAAACTACATGTGTGATCATATTTTAAGTTTAAAATGTGTATGTTTATTATTCTCTGGCAGTACTTTTTACAGTAATCTTTTCTTTTCTATTTTAATATTATTATTATTATTTTTTTTATGGGCAATTATTTTAAAACTAAATCAACATAAAAAATGTGTACAATCACATAAAAGCAATGGACCGTGTTAAATAAAGCATTTCATAACTAAACACGCCCAAACTAAACTCCTAACTCATGGATTTGAGATTATTAATTTTCAAATTATCCAACTAAACACCTTCCACAAATTTTCACTTTATCCAGCTAATGCGTTGCACAAGCACAATCGGTTGCATTTCGGCTATTTGCCACTTCGAGTCCACAGCTTCCTCCATACCTTGAGCGCTTGCAATTTCGCATCCTTTAATTTCTTCTATCTCTTCATCTGTTACCTCAGCTTGTGAAATTTCTCCAGCCAATCTCATGCGGTTCAACTGTTCCTCGGACCGTGGCCGCAATGTACGAAGTCGTTCATTTTCATTCGTCTTCCAATGCGCTGGAACCAGAGAACGTTTATTAATGAGAAGGCTCAGTTCCAGAAACAACTTCTGGCCGTCAAAAATTTTGAGTTGTGGGAGACGGAATATACCACACCGGACCAGAAACCACCACTCGTCGACGGAATACTCGTTGCTGCCACGCCAAAGATTTTCAATTCTACCACTCTAAGACGGAATTTACCATAGTGAAAAGCAATATGAAAAATAATAACGAAAACGGAAAGAGAAAGAGAAATCTAATAAGCACTAGGCAGAGGCGTGCTGGTGCCAGATAAAAACAAGCACTAAAATAAAAATTGAAGTCAGAGCGACAAGTGTCGAGAATGAAGCGGTGAACGAGGAAAGGAGTGGGTTTTTGTACATTTGCTTGCTTGCCGAAAATATGATATTTGCGTGAAATGGATTTGGTGATCGCAATACAAGTCATGTAAGATCGACTGTTTAATAAAAAGTTACATACCTACTATTTTATTATAATTTAATTAAACATATGTATGTACATCAACAAAACATCCGAAAAAGGACAAAAAAAGTGAATGAAATGCGGATTTTCGTCCGTTTACCGATTCCACTTTCGGATACTTTGACGATCCGTTTTCCCACTAAAACGTGCGGCAGAAACGTATGTACAGAAAAGTAACGAACATGGTGGCGAAAGGGATACGTTTTCAGGTTTTTTTTTTTTTTGAAATTTGTCTGATTGAATTTTTCGTTCAATACGCTTTCCTTCTGCACTTCACAGATACTTTTCCATGGTTCAAAAGAAATAAAATAAAATTAAGAAGCGCCTGACGGAATTCGAACCCGGCACCTTCTGGAAGCTAACGAATAGTGGCACATTCCTCTGCACACTCTGCCACTGCCGACTACGCATGTATGCTTTCAAATGTTTAGCTTGAGCAAATAAAATACAATTACTGCTTTCAAATGGAATCATCTTTTTTAACCGTTTTCCGGATATGAAAATTGATGATAACTGTAGGAGTTTTTTGTATTCGTTTTAGGATACGGAAAATTCAACTAAACTGCACTGTCGGCAAAAGTTACGTTTCTTTGTTGGCTGGGTATCTATTATACCAATTCATGAAATTGCATCTATGAAAATATGCTACACCCTATCTGCGCAATCGGCTCATTTTTGCACGTCTATTTGCCGACGGCATTTCGCATGCAAAATTTACAAAACAAATTTATGTATAAATATGAATGAGCTTGTTCACAAAGAAATTAAAAGGGTGATCAAATACCTTACCAATGATACCTCACAAGTCTAAATTTGTAAGGTTTTGGCTGAATTATGGTCGGATTATGCATACTTCGCATAACTTCGCACAACTTCGCATAAACTTCAAACTGTAATTTCGTATGTACTTTGTATTATTTTGTATGTATTCCATTACCCAGAAATTAGCAGAACCTTTAAAAACTTAGACCTTTATTCGAGTTTTTCTTAAACCAGTCTTTGAAAAAAGTGCAAAAACAGCATCAAAAATTTCATTATTATGATTCCGTAGCAATTTTTTTAAATTTTTTTATGCAAACTTTTTAAGCTTAAACTATTCAGTCATCTAAGATAATTTTTTCAAAAACTCAATTTTTGGAGGTATTTTCAAATCGATCCAGCTCATGCAAATCTTAATATTTTTGCGATATATTTTGTTGGAAATCTTAAAATATAATAGCTTTCATAATTCCAGTTGAAAAACAGTACCGTTTTTTTTTTTTTTGTATGGGGAGTGATGCACTCTACTGTACATAAGGTGATTACGATTACTCGGCCGTCTATCATAGTAGCACAATGCCACTAAGTGCATTTTAAAATCTTCCGGCAATAGTCTCATGCGATTATCGATTATATTTTTTGTTGTTTGTGTGAAATATTTTACTTTTATCAGTATTTTTCATTTAATTAAAATATGTTGAAATAAAAGGGGAAAAAAATATTTTGCCACTCAAAATATTGCCTTAGAAAATCTTATCGTCGTTTAAAGTACAAAACCGCGTATCAAGAAAATGTGAAACCGCGTATCACGAAAATGTAAAAATTTTCTAGAGAGTAAAAACACTCATATTTCAAAATGGTTCTCTTTTTTATAAAGCAATCGCATTTCTGGCGAGTATATTTCAGGACGAATGAATAAGGATTGAGCCAAGAGTTTGTATGAGCAAATCTAATTTTTGGCAGCAAATGTCAGTTAAGCGGTTTTGCAGAATGACGATACGCGCTTCTGTACCTCGACGTTATAAATTTAGCCGAAATAGCTTCATTCTCCACACTTGTCGTTCTGACTGCCATTTTTCGTTTTCGTTCTTATTTTTCATTTTGCTTTTCGCTATGGTAAATTCCGTCATAGAGTGGTAGAATTGAAAATCTTTGGCGTGGCGGCAACGAGTATTCCGTCGACGAGTGGTGGTTTCTCGTCCGGTGTGGTATATTCCGTCTCCCACAACTCAAAATTTTTGACGGCCAAAAGTTCATTCTGGAATTGCGCCTTCTCATTAATAAACGTTCTCTGCTGAAACCTTTAATTTGTTCTGTTAATTACGTTTGCGACTGGACACACGGTCGGCCTTCTTTGTACGCGCTGGCTTTTTTGATTTGACTGGCGCAGGTGGTGGTCTTGCTGGCTGCACCGCTTTCAAATTCTGTAGTTTTTGGAGTTCCTTAGCGACAACAGGCTTATTTACAGGGTTGTTTACGGTGCGCGCAGTCTTTGGTTTTGACAGATTCACCGCAGTTTTTCTCGCTTTGGTTTTCTCCGCTGATTCAATTAGCTTTGGCTTCTTCGAACACTTATTTAACGAGCCCGGCGGCCGGCCGCGACGACATGTTGTAGTCGCCTCACTGCCAGAGATCTTTGAGGCTTTTAATGTTACCTTCTTTTCCGCACCCTCATTCTCCATGCACATATCTACAGCGGGCGGCACGAACACCTTTATTTGCGCCATACTATCCTTCGAATAGGTGTGTGCAATATTACCCAAATTGACGGGCGGCACAACAGCGCTCGCCGGTAGTACAACACAAGGTTCTACATCTGATAGATGAACTTTAGATGTCTGCAATCGACTGCAACCAAATACAAAAGTGCCATTCGATTCACTAGCGCTGCCAACGCCTCTTCCTCCTCGGCTACGTGCAGATAGTGGCAGTTGCGAAATGTTGCGCTTTTGTGTGTGCTTCCGTCGTCGAGTTTGTGCTGGTTTAGTCACCGGCTCAGTGGTCGTAGATGGCGAACTGCCACCACTACCTCCACCAACACCACCAACACCGCCAACACCGCCACCACCGCTATTCAAACCGACACTTGCACCGCTCGTAGCAATGCTGCTCGTGAGGGTGTTCACATTGGGTGCGGATATAGTGTTGGACGTAAATTGTACGTGCAAAGTCGATTCAGATGGAAAAGTCTTTCGTCGTCGTTGCGGGACGTTATTGGCCGGATCGTCATTTCTGTTTTCATGCAATATGGACTCATCAGAAAATTTGCGCGTACGCCGGCGCATATGGTATGAGTTTTCTGGTAAGTGATGCGTTGTATCGATTTGGCTATTTTGTACTACCATAGCGGTTTCTTCGACGATAGTGGCAGTTGACACATCCGCTGACTTGTTGAGAGTATTGGAATTAGAACGCTTTTCCGGTGTAAAAACGAGCTCTTGTGTTGAAGAAACTTCATGATCGGATGATATTGATATTGCTGTATGAGTATTAGGAATGAAAAGATTTTATGATAAACTTATAATAAACTATAGAAGCACAGAATAGTCTGAATGAAATGAGAAGTATAGAAGCTAGAGCTGGGATACTATCGATAATATCGATTGTTGAAAACTGTCGCCTGTCGGTGTTTGCGAACGAAAAATGACACTGAAGATGGCACAATGCCGAAACCGGTTTGTCCCCAAACCAAACTTGACAAGGGTTGACGGAAAATCGTTCCACAATACATCATACTCCTACCCTGTCGGAAACACAAACAACCAAAAAGAAGTTATTCATATCTAATTCAGATGTTCTGATAAATTAATGAGTTTATTTTATTATTATAAAAAGATCCTTTTGATTCATTCAAATAAAAAAAAAATATGTGTAATTTACAAAGTAATTAATAATTTATTAACCGATTTTCAAAGAATTGGGGTTTCAATTGAACACTGTTACATAATGTGGTTCACGACGATAGTAATATCGATACCATCGATGTTTTCAACTATCGCTTCGAAAACTATCGAGTGACGGTACTATCGATAGTATCCCAGCTCAGCTAATAGACACCAAATAATAAACATTATCCGATACTTGAGAAAATCTGTATTTTGCTAGACTATGATACAAAATATTTCCAGCAAATAAATCTGAAATAAATTTCGTCGATTTGGGGAATGCATTGAATGAGAGTTAAGGCATTACACGCACTTTTAACTCGTTCGTATTTAGCTTTTACTTGAATATACATTAGGGTGATCCAAAAACATATAAAATACATTGAAAACTTTGGGCGCTTTGGGCGACCTCTAAATATTTTTTGATTTCAATAAAAAAAATATGAGTATATTTTTTCGGTATAGAACAATCCTAGGGGGGTGAGAGCATAAAAATTCCGACTTCACTTTTTCACATGCATTTTTGGACCACCCTAATATACATACATAAAACATATACATATGTTTGGGGTAAGTTTAAGTTGTAAATGTTATATTTATTATATTAAAGAGAAGAACATTTCGCTCTCAACTCCAAGTTCGCTTTGAAAACCCTCTGTTAAAGTTAAAAAAATGCTCCTGTACTACGAATGGAAAATAAGCAAATTGTATATCGACACTTGAGTGGAAGATCGACCTATCTCGGCAGCCAGTTCGAAAACGCCCTATCTCAGAAAACTTTTCAAGACCGCCCTATTTCAGAATTTGGTTGAAGAACGCCCTATCTCAGTATTGGGTTCAAAAACGTCCTATCTCAGCTGAAAATACATTGAAAATGTGCTAAGATAAGGCGTTTTTGAATCGGTAGCTGCGATAGGGCGAATTTTGAGATAGGGCGCTCTTCAATCAATTTCTGAGATAAGGCGTTCTTGAAAACAATTTGGTCTCAACTCCAAGTTCGCTTTGAAAATCCTCTTGTATAGTTAAAATATTCTCCGTCACAATTTTTTATCTTCCTAATATTTGGATATAGCACCTACGGAGCAAATTATCTACCTCAAAGATAACTATCGGGCCAATTTTAGGACAATACATTAATCTGTACGTGGCTAATATTTATATATACGTTCTGAATGTGAATCAAAACGAACCGTAAGAGGAGTTTATCGAGATATCACCGACTCCGGCGTCACCTACCGTATTGTTTTATTTTATTTTATTTTTTTGCATTTTAGGCTACATTTTCAGTAAAGGTGTAATTCGCCGGTCGCGAAAAAGGTTATATTGATTTGAAAATGAGTGAAATATCTAAAGAAATACGATATGTGATTTTTTTACTATAAAAAAGGTGAAAACGCAAAACAAGCCGAAAAGTACTGTAAGTGAACGTCGGACCCATGAGTGGTTTGCTCGATTGCGTTGTGAAAATTTCGAAGTCAACGATGCATCGCGCTTTGGTCGGCCAGTCACTGGAAACGTCAATGAAATAATGCAAATGGTTGAAGCAAGACCGGCATAGAAGGTAAGACATTAAGCATCAACCATTTTTGAAGCGACTCATTACGAGCGATGAAAAATGGATTGAATACGAGAATAAGCAAAGGTCGATGACCCTCCACAAACGACTTCAAAGCCTGGATTGACGGCAAACAAGGTTATGTTGAGAGCATGGTAGGATTGCAAGATTGCAATTGTCCACAATGAACTGCTACAACGTGGTGAAATGATCAATTCGACCGTTTGAACGAAGAAATCAAGAACGAGCTACCAGACTTGGCCAACAGAAAAGGATGATGAGAACACCAGGCCGCACACATCTTTAATGACTCGAAACAAATTGACGGAATTTGGTTAGGAAGTTTGAATGCGTCCACCGTATAGCAAGGACTTTGCACTGTCTGATTTCCATTTGTTTCGGTCTCTGCAACACTCTCATGATGGTAAAAAACTAGCCGACCCAAGAGCCTCTGAAAATCACTTGGTCTAGATTTTCGCCGACAAATCATAGCAGTTCTACACCGATGGAATTATAAAGCTATCTTAAAAATGGAAAAAGGTCACAGACAATAATGGCAAATATGTGCTTGATTCAGATTTATTTTATTTTTATCAAAAGTGTACCCAAAATTCCCCGTAGCCTTTTTATATGTCTTAGGTTAGGTAAACGGGCGACTAAGCTGTCCATTGTGATGATCTTAGAAGGGAGAGGGAAAACGATGCAGGGGGACCGGAAATAGAGTGGGTGGGTAGGGGAAAGAGGAGGAAAACTAAGGGAGAATGAAGACACCTATAGCTTCTTTTGTAGGAGAAACGCTCCGTGCTCGCAACGAATCAATCGACCGGTGTCTATTCCCGAGATCTCATCTGGAGTGTGAAAAAAGTGCGACCCAAGGTGCTTAAACCTTAGGCTCACAAAGGCAGCGTACCAGAGCCGCAGGTGTTAAGATGATTCCACTTCATCGTCCTACATACAGCTGGTGCAGTAAGGGCTATTAATGACACTCCCACCAATAGTGAGAGAAGCAGCTTGCTTAGTCTCACCTAATATATACCTAGTGACTTAATTAGCCTCATTGCGTGAGTCGTGTCGATTGCAAGTCGTTTTCCGAGAATCGAAGCGTGTCGAAAATTTCATGTCATTGCCTAAAATTTCTACTCGACTAGTGTTTTAAAACGGAAAAACTTGGCAGCACTGCATGGCTTTCGACGATTTTTGTCGTTTACTCATTTCAGCACGATACTAGATAATGCCAATGTTGTCGAGTCGTGCAATTTACGACTTACGCAATGCGGCTGAATATATACAGAAAAAAGCTATAACCAAATACGGCAAATTCAGACGCGAGTAGATTTTACTCTTTGGTCTTCATCAATAAATTAAAGAAATTATAAAACTGTACAACTTACCATTCGCCGATGGTGGTGAATTCATAGCATCTTGAAATTGCTGTCCAAGCTGTAATGGTGGCGTTGAACTTTGGCGAGATGAGCGATCACTAAACTTTCCCACATCCTGTTCAGCCAGCACGGGTGCAGCCACCGATGGTAAATCCTTTACTGAGACTTGCTCGGGTTCTTTTACTGGAACACTTGCAATCGCAAGCGAATCTGGCTGCGGCAACTCAGCGGCCATTCTTTCCTTAGAATTCTGTGTCGATGGCGCCAGTGGCAATTCAATTTTCGCCGGTTCTGCAATCAAAGCCGTTGTTGGCGCTGCTGTATGACGTTGTTCATCCGTGTCTGGTGACACATCCGCATTGGGAATAGGTAAAGGCGTCGGCGCCGATATTGCTACAGCAGGTGGTGTAGGTACATCACGACTTTCACCGTTGAGCAAGTATGTTGGCAACGTGGGCGTAGCTTCGAAACTCATCAGCGTCATAGTAGCGCCCTTAATCACATGCACAGTTGTGGGTTCAACAATGCTTTCCAAATCAGACATTTTATGTACGTGTTTTGATAGCTGCGACAACAGACAATCACTACTGGATTCCTCATCATCAGACACAGAGGACGCGGTGCGTACGAATTGGTCAGATTTCTTAACGGCTAATGGTTTTGTATTTTGAGTTGCGTCGGCGTTGCCAGCGCCAGCGCCATCGTCATGGCCATCAATGGGCGTTATGCAACGAGAATTCGATTCGTTTTGCAAACCAATTACAGTTGGTGGATCCGGCACAATCTGGATGTTAGACGAAAACGAATCGCACGATGGCCGCCTCTTTGGCAATATTATGCCTGTCGCCAGTAGAGAGTCACCATTTTC